CAACTTTAAACCTTATTAAAATCCTTAATCACCATGAAAACCTAAATCTCATTGTTAAATAAAAAACAGTTTGAAAAACTATTCTAATAAGGGAAGGGGTCGTTAAAGGGGAAAAGAAAAAGATACTTCCCTTATAAATATCTAAGCCAAAAAACTCTGGTCAATATTGTTGAAAGGCGTTTAAGTACAAACGAATACTTCGCGATATCATAATATAATTTTGTGTTCGAAATTAAAAACAAATTTTTATTAAACAAAGAAGGGTTGAGAAAAACTTGAAGACAAGACAACCCATAAAATGACTATTTATACTTAGTACTCAAAACGTGTCAAATTGTTAATGATTACAAATCAATCGAATATTTTAGGAAATCTGACTCGCCAAAAGGTATTACAGGACTTAGTATTACCTAATCTAAACCATCAACTTCACTCATTACTTCGTTTCCTCATGTAAGATATCCTAATAAGGTCATATCGCTGTAAGTGCTATATTGAGGAGCTGACTTTATGCAAAGAAAAAAAATCTAAACGTGTCAAAATGCTAAAAGCAGGAGTAAAAATTTCTTATAGAATATATAACGAATCATGTATCGACTTAATGAGTGATCAGATTTTCGTGATGCCGTCAAAGATACCAACTACAATTATATAAAAATATTTTAATCATTTTGTCATTAAAGAAGCGTCATGAAATTAAAATCTAATAAAGTACTATGGCTGTATATCCTCCGCCATTTTTGACATGTGAATAGCTAAAGTTCGAAATTAAAATGTGTTTACCGATTCTTTCGCTGTTCCAGTAAAGAATGGTAAAAGAACTTGTTTAATTACATAACATAATAACGTGTTATTTTTACCGAAGAAAACAATTATCGAACATCATTGGAAAATTTTGTTGAAAAAAGACATTATTTGTTTTTTTCCCATTACAACATAATAAAATTTTGATAAAATCATGAAAAACATACTTTTTAAATCATTGATAATGTTAAGTATACATATTTGTTAAATAATTTGAATCACGAAACGCCGTTACACTAATTAATTGAAATTACTGCGCTTTGCACAGAAATTAACGAATGTTGGATTAAAAAAGATAAGTTAATCCTTCAGATTGGAGATCGGCATATGATCGGATCGCCGTTTGCTAACATTCCTAGTCACGTGCGAAAACCGTTTATTTAATTGATATTCCAAAAAAAAAGTTCCTCGGTTATCTTCAAAAATGTCTGACGCTAAATATTTTCAAAGAGGTATTTCGTTTTCACACTTTCAAAGAAATAAAACCGTCCATGATTAAAAGAAGAACTCACTCATCTTTTCATTAGGAAAGATTCAAGAACTTCGATCCGAATTAAATTCGGAAAAAAAAGATAAACAATATACAAAGAAAAAAACAGTTTTGAAAAAAATAGTAGCAAATATGACAATGGGAAATGATATGTCACCTTTATTTTCTGATGTAATTAATTGTATGCATATACCCGTATTAGAAATAAAGAAAATGGTTTATCTTTATCTTATTAACTATTCAAGATCAAAACCTGACATGGCTGTAATGGCCATTCCAACTTTTATTAAGGTATGTGATTTTGAACTCATTTGAACTTGGATTTTAAACTCAATCCAATTTTCTTTTCCAAATAAATTATTAGGATGTGGAAGATCAAAATCCATTGATAAGGGCATTAGCAATAAGGACAATGGGTTACATTAATGTAGATAAAATAGTTGATGCGTTAGTTGATCCATTACGAAATTCTTTAAAAGATCAAGATCCATACGTTCGTAAAACTGCCGCAATTACAGTGGCGAAGTTGTATATGCATGATAAAGCTTTGGTGGAAAGTAAAGGATTTATTGATATTTTAAGAGATCTATTAACCGATCCAAATCCAACTGTGGTTGCAAATTCGGTTGCTGCTTTAACTGAAATTTCTGAACGTTCAGAAAATATTTCAGTAAAATTAAATACGACCATTGCTTATAAATTAGTTAGTGCCCTTAACGAATGTTCCGAGTAAGCGTTTTTTTAATCAATGATTTCATGCAAGCAAGGGATAATATTAACTTTTACTTCCTTTTTTTTTTAATTAGATGGGGACAAACTTATATACTTGAATCGTTGATGCTATGCGTTCCTCAAGAAATGGGAGATGCAGAAATGTTATGTGAACGTATTGCACCACGTTTACAACATGCAAACTCGAGTGTAGTATTAACAGCAGTTAAAGTAATAATGTATTTATTGAATTATATGACAAAAGAAGAAGATATTAATAATATGTGTAGAAAATTATCTCCACCATTAGTGACACTTCTTTCAAATGGACCTGAAGTACAATATGTTGCTCTTCGTAATATTTTATTAATTATACAAAAAAGACCTGAAGTATTAAGAAATGATATGAAAGTTTTCTTTTGTAAATATAATGATCCTATTTATGTTAAATTAGCAAAATTGGAAATTATGTTTCGTTTGGCAAATGCGCGTAATGTTGATCATGTTTTATCTGAATTAAAAGAGTAAGTATAGTTTCTTCTTAAGGAAATTGATGGATAGAGATACATTTAAAAAAAAAACATTTCGTCTCATTTATAGGTATGCTACAGAAGTTGATGTTGATTTTGTGAGAAAGGCTGTAAGATCAATTGGAAGATTGGCGGTAAAGATAGAAGTAACAGCCGATAAATGTATATCGGCATTATTAGAATTAATACAAACCAAAGTAAATTACGTTGTACAAGAAGCCATAGTAGTTATTAAAGATATTTTTAGAAAATATCCTAATCAATATGAAAGTATTATTGGTACTTTATGTGAAAATTTAGATAATTTGGATGAACCCGAAGCAAAATCCGCTATGATTTGGATCATTGGCCAATATGCCGATCGTATTGACAATTCCGAAGAATTATTAGACGATTTTCTTTTCACGTTTTTGGAGGAACCTGTTGAAGTACAATTAAGTTTATTAACTGCTACCGTAAAATTGTTCATTAAAAAACCCACGGCCGGTCAATCTCTTGTACCTAAAGTATTAAAATGGGCTACTGAAGATGTAGATAATCCAGATCTACGTGATAGGGGTTATATTTATTGGCGATTACTTTCAACCGATCCTACTGCCGCAAAGGTAAATTGATGATATAAGGTAATCTGTTTAATGAATAAAGGTTCTAACGTCGATTTTTTTTTTTTTTGATAGACTGTTGTATTATCTGAAAAACCAAGGATTTCAACTGAAAGTGATAATATGGAACCTTCTTTGCTCGACGAGCTGTTATTACATATTTCAAGTTTATCATCAATCTATCATAAATCTCCTCAAACCTTTATTCATCATTCTAAACCAAGGCAATTAATTATTTCTCCCGTATTAAATAGCAGAAATCCTGATCAAAATGGTAAACAACGTAACACTTCTTTATTTGATGCTGATTTAAACGATCTTACTTCCGGGTATGTATATTGATTCGTCTTTAAAAACACTTGATTTTTTTGTTAACTTTACCTTTTATTATTCTATAGTAATCTTGGTAATTACGAGTCAAATCCTTATCATGTAGATGTTGTAAATATTGGCGATCGTACGCCTAATAATTTACTTTTAGATCTATAATAATATTTTTTCCTTTAATTTAATTCTTTGGGATTTTATATTAAAAAAAATATATTTATTTATTTATTTATTTAATATAATTAAACTTTTTTTTTTTTTGACGAAAAATTCCCCAACTTTTACGCGATCGAATGTTAATTGTTGAATTGCCGGGTTATAATATGTATTTCTTACACGTAATATCTTGTTATTAAGTATTAAACAAAATTTCGCTTTAATAGCTTCAAAATAAATTTTTTTTTTTTTGTAAATAATAAACTTTTTTTAAGGTTGTTAAAAAAAATGAAAGGATTATAAATAAAGCTAATTAAATTAAAAATTAAAAATAAAAAATTTACCATAATATTTATTAAATTTTTAGGATTGGTTTCAAATATAACACTTAATTGAACATGTTTAGAGCAATAACTACCTAAAGATTAAAATCATTATAATATTAATAATTTACTCTTTTCAAATATATATAAATCTTTATCATATTTAATACTAAATCTAAATATATCTTGATTTAAAAATAATTTCTCTCATTTTTTATTGCATAGGTTCTAATTAGTTAAAAAAATATTAAAATAGTCTAATTTAAGCAAGTTTAATTATTATTATAATATAAATAGTAAATTTATATTTTTAAAGTTAATAAATTAATAGATATTTTAAAAATTTAAAATATAATTTGTTAATAATTTGTTAATAATTTTATTTATTACAACTAAAATATAATGCAATTAGATTAAAACATGTAAATATATTTTAATTTAATCAGCAATGATAAATAATCAGATCAATTAATTATTTTGAAATAACCTTTAAATGACTTTTAAATAATCTAATCATTTAAGATTATTTATTATAGTTATTTATAATATTAGTTAAATTTTATCTTAATATAAAATTAAAGTCATTCAGAATAAAAATAAGAAAATTTAATATAAAAAAATCAGAATTATAAGATCATATACAGTGAACTCTTGATATAACGAATTCTAGGATCTGGATATCAACTTCATTATAAGCTTATAACAAATTTTTTAAAGAATTTAATTGGCTAGTTCACTATAATAAAGGTAATTTTAATATATTTGATTTAAAAATTCGCTATATCAAGAGTTCACTATATCAAAGTTTGACTGTAATATAATTACTTTAAATAAGTATATTATTTGTTATTTATTTAGTTATTTAAAATTATTTAGATTACTGAATCTAATTGCATTATTTAAATTATTTATATTAAGTTACTTTCTATATTACTATCTGATTTTAAAAGAGTTCTACCTATTTATTTGTTTTAGTATTTTGACTTCTATTATTAAGATGATATTCATATATAAAGTTGCTTATCTAAACTTATTTTGGATTTAGCTAAATGTTTAAACCTTTAGTTTCTCTAAATTTTATTAAGTATTTGATATATTTTTATTATTTTTATAAATTTTGATATAGTTTTACCTTTTTTAAATTTTGCAGATTTTTTAATAAGGTTTTAATATAATTTAATCAAGTTTTACCTTTACTATTTAAATGTTTGTCTAAACTCTTAATTTCATCCAGTAACATATTCATATGTTTATATTTACTTTATATTTTTACTTAGTAAATATTTATTGTTTATTCTATTTTATATTCTTTTTAGTATTTTATTATTAATTAATTATGAAATTACTTTTGCATCTATTTATTTTCTTTTATAAATTATTATTAGCTTACTTTTACATTCTATTATTGCTAAAAAAAAAAAAACATATGTATAATACTAAAATTAATTCATTTGATTGTTAGAATGAATATGAATTATTAAATTTATAATCTAATATTAATTTTCTAGAAATGAAGTATAAAATATATTTATTTTCTCTTTAATTATCAAAAATAAAATACAAAATACTAAATATTAGAGATAGTACTTCAACTATTTTTAAAATAGTTATAATATTATTGTCTATATAAAAAACATAGAATTGTACATTACAGATTAGAATTAGTAAGATCTAGTTGTAATGCCATTTTTATTAAATATGCAATTTACAATTTATGATTCTCTTAATTGCTAAGAATTGAATATAAAGTAATAATTTGCAATTTATCATTCTTCAATTATTAAAAAATAAAATATATAATAATCTGATAATATTTTAAAGTATTATTTTATTTCTTTCTTACATATTTTTATTTTAAATTGCTACCAAAAATATATATAATTTTGATTTCTAGAATTCTCTAATATAGTTAATATCTTAAGATACTATTATATTAATAAATTTCTTGATAAAATTTAAAGTAACTTTAAAAAAATATTTATAATTTTTATTTAATCTAATTATTTAATGATATAACTAATATATATATAGGAGGCGGTCAGTAGAAAAGGAGAAATCCTTAAGCTAATTTTGTGCACATGACCAAGATCAGCCAAGTAGTCCAATAATATAAATTTTAACCAAAATTTAGATTTCCCTCTTTTTTACTGACTGCCTCCCATATATTATAAAAGGATCAATAAAGTAATTTATATATAATTGATCTATAAATTAATCTACATATTGTAATGTTAAAAATGTTGATATTATTAATATAGTTAATATTAGGATTCTTTAAAATCAAATTAAATCAAATATTTGATTGAATATAAAAATTTTTTTAATTTTACAATGATATATTAAAATAAAGTTATTCTAAAGTTTTAATTAAGAAATTATTAAATTGTATTAAAAAATTTCAAAGATAGCTTTTACAAAGTAAGTTTAGAAACAGATGAATTTTTACTATTAAACTTAGTAAAATAACTCTGCAATATTAGTTTTACTAAAAAAACTTAGTAATAATCACCATCACAGCTTCAGTTTACTAAGGATACCTAGTAATAATTACCAATATAGCTTCAGTTTACTAAGAAAACTTAGTAATATCTACTATCACAGTTTCAGTTTACTAAGAAACTTAATAATAACTGCTATCTCAATGTTATAACCATTTATTAGTAAAAAATATTTCCAAAGCTGTAAATATATTTTTTTATTAGATTTCTTAGTAAAAAACGTATCTAAAGTTGCAAAGACATTTTTACTATATTTCTTAATAAAATAATGTTTCTGAAGCTGTGGAGGTATCTTTTACTATGTTTTCTTAATAAAATAACGTTCTGAAACTATTAAGATATTTTTTTACTATATTTTCTTAATAAAAAAGGCATTTCTAATATTATAGAAATGCTTTGTGCTATAGTTTTCTTAGTAAAAAAAGGCATTTCTAAAGCTGTAAAGATGCTTTTTACTATAGTTTTCTTAGTAAGAGCCACTCCTAAAGCTTTGGAGATGACTTTAATATTAATTTGAATTAAATTAATTATTTGAATACTTGATTTGAATTTGATTGAATTAAATCAAACATTAATTTAAATTTGATCAAATAAATTATTCTTTAATTTGAATTTAATTGAATCAAATCAAATATAAATTTGAATTTGTATTTGATTTGATTTTCAAATCATTAAATATTCAAATATCAAATCGAATTGCAGAACTCTAGTTAATATAATTAATATAGTTGACATATTTGACATATTTAACATGTTCAATATGTTTAATTTATTTAATATATGTAATATATTTTATATAATTTATTTATTTAATATAGTTAACTTGTTATTATATGTATTTCAAATACAGTCAGTAGCTTAGAGCTTATAGAAAAATGCAGAATTTAATAGGCTGTGTAAAATTAACAATTTTCAAAAATCCTTAAAGTAGCTATATGATCAAATTTTTGTAAATTTACCTTTTCTTATTTTATTTTATCTTTTATTTCTTTCTCATATTTTTATTAATAAACTCTTTCTATTTTATCTTTTACCTCTTTGTAAATCTTTGTAATATATTAATCTTTGTAAAATATAAAACCTTTGTAATCTTTGTAAATTTTAATAATAACTTATCAGCCTTTGTGAATTATAAATTTTAGTGATATATAGTCTTTATGAGTCTTAATAACAATCTATAAGTCTTCATAAATATTAATAAGTCTTTATAAAACTTAGTAAAATTATTATGTAAACTAAAAAGAATAATTACTAAAGATAGTTCTTATAATTATTTTTAAATTTCATTTGAATTGCAACCTAAATACAACATTAATTAATTTAATTGCAATATGAGTTGTAATGCAATTGTAATATTTTTTGGTAATTGTAATATTAACTATAATCATTATTCAAACATCTTGTTTAATTGTAATGATTCATCAACATCACATATTAATAATATACAAAGTTATAATATTAATCAGCTTTGATTTCTTGATAATTTTTAATATATAAAAATAAAGCTTAATAAATTAGTTGAATACTTATGTAAAAAGCTCAAAAAATTTGCTTAAATATCAAGTACTTCACTAAGAAAGGTTATTTGATAAATAAGATTAAACTTTTTTTTTATAAAAATATATTTTTATATTATTGTACAAATTTATAATATAAAATTTGAATAAACTTTTACCAAGAAAGAATTTAACTAGCAAAATATAAGTAAAAAATTATAAATATATGCAAAAAATATGTCAATAATTTATGATAAAAAATTTTGAAGAATATCATGAATTATTAATAAATATATATAATATACTTTTAAATAAAATTTTTGAATAAATTACAAACATATAAAAATTCATGTATTTCTTTAATACAATTAAATTCCTTTATAATTTAAAAAAATATATATATTAAGTTTTTATTAGATAATATTATATTATAAAAAGCATTTTTTAATAAAAAAAGCTCTTTCTAACATCATATCTGTAGAATTCCTACAGGTTTTAATATCTATAATTAATTCTAATTTTTGAAGATTTAAAGTAATACATTGTTGATAAAATCTTTCATATCATTGAGGTGAAGTACAAATCTTTACTACTAATTTTCTAAGCTTAATAATTATAATTAAAATAAAATTAAATTAATTATAAAGTATTTTTTAATAAATAATAAAATACAACTTACTTTATATAAT